ACCAAGGTCAAGTCCATTTCTTAGACTTAATTAAAATCTAATATTTAAGTACATTCAGGTAGAAGACGTATTAATACAGGTAACATAGGTATTTCACGGGAATGTGCCGTGCCTCTAAGACAATCCGTTACAACTATTGGTTTATTTCAACGCTATGAATCATCTTTATGGGCAATTCGAGCGGTATATTTTGGCAATTCGTTGAATTATTGCACTCCATCCGACTGGGAAGGCGCAGTATTGTTCCTTGCGGCTGTAACGGCCTTTGTGTTCGATGTATTATGAAATAGCTTTCTTTAAAACGATTTGCTTAAATGCATTCAAGAAGACGTAGACATACGTTTTAATTAAACTTTATGAGATAATAAGAACATATTACATTATTAATTTTTTTTATAAAATATACAAGATAAGTAATCAACATAAACGAAGTTTTTTGTGTGTGATTGTTCTTAGTAACAAAGATATGTGTTATAATCGTCAATTTAACTGAAATTGATTAGAAAATTTAGTGATTGCTTTCTTTATCCAATAAGTATTTAGGATAATAATTCTAAAGTATAATAAGATAAAGTGACGGTATTCTATTGTTTCCGCGACCTCGCCTACGTCAGCTGCCGAAGCTGATCCCACTATGGGGGAGGACCTTCAGCCTCAGGCGCCAGATCCCCCTAAATGTTCTAAGTACCCCTGAAGACCGAGCACCTCAGTGGGACGTATAGTGGGCTGACGATGAAATGTTACTGAATTTGTATTCCAATGTATATTAACCTATGCAAACATTAATACGTGTGATGAAACACGTTTGATCGTGTTAAACTCAAGGGTGACACAAAGATGTCAACCAGAGATACATTATCTGGCGCCATTTTACTTTCTCATTGCTTTTTAACGCACCGAGAGTCGTATTAATAAACAAAAACTTTAATAAATTAACAATGGCCGAAATATGAAAACAAACGATAAGGCAATAACATCTTGTTCCAATAATATAACAACCAAAACAAGCCGAGGTCAGGGGCCCCTTGATAAGGCTCGTGTATTAATTTGCCGGTTCGTATGAGGACAAAGTGTTCTGTAACACGACTACTTCAAATTGATCAACCGCTTGAAATAGAATCTAGCTGATTCATTGTGTTCCAACTTTTTAGCTTAAATATTCTTAAATTTGGATTTATTCCATAATAAGTAAACTAAGAAGAGAAAGTATTTCATGTTGGTTGTTTTCCTTCACCGTAAGAATGTCGGATAAATGTTCATATGTAAATCGGAAATCGAAAAACACATTGGTGCATGGGATTCGAACCCATGACCTGCAGATTGCAAGTGAAGTACTTAACCCCTGAGCCACCGACGCTCTATATATATATATATCGTATTACTCGGTCACTTAACTAAATTACATCAGAATTTCTTCAAATCTTCTGGAGATTGTTATAAAGTGGCCGCGTTATAAACTGTATAGATGAGTCTGTAAGATATGAATGTTATCATCTTCAAAAACCCAATAAATAATAAAGAAATCTTCATACATTTTTTTCAAGTAACCGCCACAGATAATTATGTTTATTGAATATTAATATCGCTTTCGACGCAATTAAAAATGAGGTTGGAATTGTTTCTAGCTCACGATAAGAAACACTTTGTTTTGTATTTGCCGACGCTATACTTTGAACACAGATCAGAATTATCTGGAAGATATATGTTGCAACGTGTTTCGTCACATTACGACAGGGCGTGTTAGCAAATGATAAAAAATATACAAAAAAAAATAAAAAGACTAGTATTGCCAACTTAACATTAGACAATTCAAAAGCCTTTTTTGATATAGCTCCTCTGTGAACAAGCCTAATTTAACAACCTTAAGGTTTGTTAAGTGTTAATACGTCATAAGATTAATGTCCAATTTGCAAACCCTAAGTATGAGTTAACCAGAAGACTAGTCTTGTACAGCCCTAATTGTAAACTAGAGGACTATTCTTGTACAGCCCTAGGTGTAAACTAGAGGACTCTTCTTGTACAGCTCTAGGTGTAAACCAGAAGACTATTCATGTACAGCCCTAGGTGTAAACCAGAGATCTATTCAGAGAGTACAAGAGTACAACCCTAGATGTAAACCAGAAGACTAGTGTTGTCAGCCCTAGGTGTTAACAAATGAGAAGTAGCACGTAGCGCGTTAGCACATTACGTTCACGTCGCGCCGTCAACGACAACAATGCTGCGCTACTCGTACAATAGAGAATAACAAAGGCCACAAATCACACTGCAATGGAGGCGTGGACGTCTTATTTAGTGCTGCCTAGGGTTCAGACGTCTTGCAGTTATTGTATTGCTTGACTTACCTTGTTAGAATACAACCCATATCTTTTTATGTTCACTCGACTGTCATCTTTACCGTAGCCAATGATATTTTTTAAATTAAATCATAAAGGATAAAGTTATTGCAATATTACTGCCATGTAATTGTGCAATATTAACTCTCAGGCATCTCACCTTATAATTCTAACCTCTCTTTTGCATACAAGCAACAAAATCATTTAAAGTTAACAGTTTAAAACCATCTCATTCAGAGTATCCTAACCAAATCGCGTTATAGCTCTCTGTGAAAAACGAATGAAAATAATTTAAATAAAGAATGGAAACGGCATCGGCGAGCAGCGATATATGCACACGCTGCGTTGCCAACCGAATAAAAATAAATCAGGCTTGATTTATTCCAGCGGCAATGTCGCATAGCGGCCGACGCCCGTTGCCCGCCTGCAGTACCCACCACTCCTGCGACATCGCCCGACTACCCGACCAAGACTACCCTCATATTGTAACGCCCAAGATGCAAGCAAAATTTTGCATCGTTATTTACATGTTTTTTTTTTACCAAAATCCAAATTTAAGAAAAGTCATTTTTCATTAAAAACATTAGATGACGAGAGAAAAATAATGGAAATATCTATAAATATAATAACATTAAGCTATTAACATTTTAATGGAAAATTCAAATCGCATGTCATCCGGTCGCCTGCCGGAAATTGAATCCCGGCTACGTCTCAGTCTGTCGCTTGACCTATGACGCCTACACTGACACCTGTCAAAGCCTTTGCCCAACCATTACTACGACCCTTGCCTACGTACCTTCAGCCAGACAGAAATTTCTATATACTAAAATTACAGACTCACGGACAGTGTTTGTGAAGTTGCGCTTGAAGTTAAAAAGTTAGTACGTCAACCCTCAACTATTGATGAATAAATTTAAGAATATAGCACACATTGCGTCTGTGACTCGAGGGTTATGTTAGCATTTGTAATCTGCACGTCCTAGGTTCGAATCCCGGTATGTGACAATGTAATTTTTTGACTTACATAATAAGCATATTTATCCGATATTCTTATGGTGAAAGTATCATCATGCAACTTGCACATATTTGCAAAGTAATTCCAACATATGCGTGAAAAGCAACACCTACGTCCTAGTCACCTAGAATAGACTCCTAGCCCTTCAGTGGGGACATATAGTAAGCTAAACTGATATATAAACACGGCTAAACACTCACGTATATACGTCCGGTGGCGGCACCGGACGTATATACGTGAGTGTTTAGCCGTGTTTATATATCAGTTTAGTATAATGTCTCACGAAAGTTTGAATAATTTAATATAGTAAGCTATAGCTTATGATGATGATGGTGACTATCAATTTTTTGTGTTGATTTGTTTCAAAATGTTATTAAATTTCAAGTTAATAAAAAAGAAACTTAAAAATCAATTCGTGACTACGGAGGTCGGGTCGTAACTGATCTGGCCGATAACACTTTGCAGCTCGTTGTTTAGACACTAGACAAGTTATATAAATGCCCATCAAAACTGCTATCAATTTTACCAATAAATTCTCCTCTATACTCTTTAGTGCCAATAGATAAAGCCCCGAGATCAGATCTTTTGTACTCTTCCTTGTGCTAACTAAATATGGAGATTTCATATTAAAAAACTGATTTTATAACCTCTTTATTTCCTTATAAATTACCTATAGTTTTTATATTCGATATTTGGATATGAACCTTTTAGGTTACATTATTTAAAGATTATTTAATTTTATTTTTAAGCATTCTTTTAAAATGCTGATATTAACTTATATATAAAATTCCCGTGTCACAATTTTCGTTCCCATACTCCTCCGAAACGGCTTGACCGATTCTCATGAAATTTTGTGAGCATATTGAGTAGGTCTGAGAATCGGCCAACATCTATTTTTAATCCCGCGCGAACGGAGTCGCGGGCGAAAGCTATAAGTTAGTTATAAATAAAACTAAAATAGGTTGATCGACGTAATTATTCCGTGAAGATAAATTATACAATCAATTACATTAATCTCTAACTATCAAATGATTCCGTCTCCATATTTAGCTACCATGGTTGGTGTAATGAAGACATACTGTGGTTGCCACGCCTCCTCTAAACAGGTAATTGAGTCATTATAGTTACTCTCGGGCATAGCTCGCGCACCATCGGCGATCCGGAGATAGTACCAGATACATCGGCCCCGGGTATTTCAAAATGGACGCTAATACCGACCAAGATATCTACTTATAGATTTATTTTAATATCATAAAGTACCTTACAATTATGTATTTGATAATATTGTTATAACCTCACATTTAAAGCACAAGATCAAATGTAACCTTATACTTTCGAATTTGAATTTTTCTTGAATAAGGATTTAACTTGTTAAAATGTATCGTACTGGCCGTATAACCTAATGATTGTCGACCACTAACATCTGTGTTCTTGACAGGCTATACCTATGGTATTTTGTTCCTATTTGATTTTCTCCATTTTGGCGCTGACGGTAATGTTTGGTAGCGGTATTTGAAATACGAATTAATAATATACATAGATTTTGCATACAGTAAGCAACTTTCTTTTAAATCGGAATGATTCAAATTTCTGAATTGATTTCTAAGCGTGACCTGTCCAGCGGATAAAAGTTAGGCTGTCAACATGACTGTTAAATAAAAAGTAAATCGTTTTGATTTGACATTACAAAACGTGTTCTGAAAAAAACTCGTATTATAAAACCTCTAGACGTGGTTAACATAAAAAATATTTTAAAGGTATAAGTGGTGAGAAGCATGGAAAACTCTGATACTGGTACATTTGGGGATACTGTACTGGATGGTGTATGGTTTAGAGCAGGCAATGATACTGGTTTTCCAACTCCGGGCCAGTATAATCCAATTTATATTCTAACCGGTGTCTTTGGTGGGCTGTTCATTATATTACCATTACTCGTACGGAAATCTCCTAATAAAGTGTAAGATAATTGCTTAAAAACTTCATCATACGATTCAATTTTATTAATATTATAAATGCGAAGTTTAGATGGACGGATGGATGTTTGTTAGAAGGTATCTTCAGAACGGCGCAACGGCTCTCGATGAAATTTGGTATAGATGTAAAACAGTCTGGAAGAACACATAGGTCGTAGGCTACTAATTTAGTTTTTTTTTTAATTCCTCACGACCGAAGTCTCGGCCAAACCTACTTATTTTATATTTCTTCTTATTATACTAATTTCTGTTTGTTGTCTATTTATTTTCAGAATTATCAGATGCAGTATTATGCTGTCTATATTCTGCATATGGATCTTGTGAGTATTCCTTTAATAATGTTTTAAGAATCGTTATTCAAATCTCCTCGCGCATAAACTTAAAGCATAAAACGCTTCACTTGTATTCTACAAGGTTGAGGTTGAGTCTGCCCATTGATATTGAGGGCTGTTCCATCTGTGATAACAAAGTAGATGAATTTCATGCATAAAACTCACGTTTTTATGGTTAAAGATAACATTGTGGTGTACCCAGCATCTTGCGGCACGTTTTTATGGTGAAGGAAAACACCGTGAAGCAATCTGAATCTTATAAGGAAATTCAAAGGTGTATGTGAAGTCAACAGGGACGAGCGTAGTTAAATACGACCTTGTTACCTCACTCAGGGTTGACTATTGAAGTAGAGATGTGTAAAGTGATGACGTAAACAGATGTAATATTTCAGCTGGGTAACCGTTTACATTGGACAGATGAATCCTATCATGGGTCCGCGAATGCACAACACTACTGTGGCTTGGATTGCTCATGCAAAGGTTATAAGACTGTTATTTTATCTTTATAATAATTCCTAATTATAAAACTTTGTCAATGGAGAAAAAAAATCAATAAAAGATAATTAAAGTCGGAGTCCATCCATCCATCTAAACTCTAGTAAGGTTTCGGGATTGTAATTGTTTTGAATTGTTACTATTTTAGGGAAATCCACTAAAAGCTTCCGATGTAAGGGAGGGAGAAGTTCCTGAATATTAGTAATCCTGTAAACTACCAAGGAACGGTGAGAAGCTACTACTAATATAAGTAAACGCTTAGGTTTTAACTTATTACTAATCATTAGAAAAAAAGTAAGAGAGTTTTGAATAGAAACGATATTGGACACTACTTTTCGAATAAAATAAACGAACAACTTCCTTCTGTACTCATAATCGGTTAATAATCATTGAATTACTCTTAGTATCAGATAAATTTAAATGTATGAGAAATCTTTATAATTTTTAATTACAGGTCAACAGATGCTGTCAAAAAGTGGTCACTTTTAGTTATTAATGTAAAGATGATTTCATTAAATCTCTTCTAAGAAGTTGACTTGAAAATTTATTTTTACTTAACTCAAAAACTACAGTTTATAATTTAGGAAGATTATTCAAACATTTCAGGACAGTGGAAACACAAAAACAATACGTATAAAGCTCACTTAACACATTACACTTGTACCATTTGCTTACCCCAAATCGTACAAACACAAAGCAATCAAAGTATCCGAATGGAATTGTAATGGCGCGCACCCAACAGCGCCCCCACAACATAGCGGAGGATATCGCTAAAGATCAAAATAACATTTGTACCAAAATCATTTATCAGCGCTGATTCTGTTTCCATTTGGCGTCTCCGCGCCTCCCCGCGTCCCTCACCCCGGCTTGTTAGCTCGCGAATATAAGCCTATTACCACGTTAGACATAGAACAGCGATTTCTGTCTGTCATAAAAATTATCAAACATTTTAACTATATATACCATTTTTTTTAACTCTTTGGTGATTTAAATCGCTTTAATAAATACATTAATAAGTGTTTAAGTATACTTTGAATTGACTTGACTTGAAAATTAAAAAGAAAGTCTTGACAGACAGACAGACGGACGGACAACAAAGGGATCCTATAAGGGTTTCGTATTTTTCCTTTCGAGGTACGGAACGTTAAAAATAAAAGTTATTTTCTATACACTTCTGGGTCCAGTATTTAGGTTTCTTTAAATCACATTTCTAGTTAGAAATATGAACTGTTACGATAAAAATCCGGAAATGATCCAGTATATTGAATCAACACTAACCTTACTAAAATTTCGATGTTTGTATCTCCCACACATTTATTCTGACACTAGACTTTGTAACAAAGGCACGTCATTCGCGCCAAGGAATTGTAATTAATAATGTCCAAAAGTACTAACGTGGTATAGACTAATGATGGAATAATAAAAATAATACATGTTCTATAAACATTCAAAATCGCTACCGCTTATGATAGAGTTTCAGCCTCACCCCATCGGACGGTAGACTAATGTGTTCCCGGGGAATAGCGTCTTTGTGGGGAGATCGTCATTAATACTTGTTGGTGACGACGCGACGTTTACATTAACATTTTATATTTGTATTAAACCTCGGCAATTGTTATGAATACACAAACAGATTTAAATGATGCACAACACAGTTTTATTGTAGAAAAATGTTGAGCAAAAGTTGACATTCAATTGAAACAGATGTCAAGTTTTCGTCTATATGGGGTATAGCAAAAATTTATTAATAAGTTTAAAAATTAAAGTTTTCTGATTTATGAATTAAGCATAGTTTGTCACGAATTTTATATGTCAATTTGATTAATTCCTCATATTTCTACACACTTGACACTAAAATAATAAACGATTGGACCTCTTTCCCTTCCCATCCTTTTTTCTTATAAGGAAAGGATGGGAAGTGGAATTGGACGTTCCGGATGAGAGGATGCATGGTAAGGGAAAATATTTTCTTTCTGTGCATCCTCTCCTCCGTCGATTAAACGTAGGCAACGCATATGCAATTGCGTATGTCTATGAGCAAAAGTCACTTCGCTATTTCAACGATTTTAGTTGGCCGCTCGCTCGTTTGCCACCTTATGAAATAAAAAAACGTTGCAATATCTTTTCGTAAAAAATAACAAAACACGAAGTTGCAATCAACTATCGCAATTCCCGAAATCCCCGAATATCCCCATTGCAACCGGTCATCAACTCAATTGACGCGTCGGCTCTTTGCCGATCTATTTTTTTCTGCCCCACAGCCAAATTCGCGCCATATTGCGACGCTCCCCATCTAAATGATAATTCGAGGGCCCTTCTTACAATAAAAATTATTGCGGCCAGTTTATTTTATTACACTTTGTATTGTATTCAAATACCCGCAAAAAGGCAACACTTGTTTTACATTTAACAAATACGGTATTAGTGCAAAATAAACCTTATTTCCAGTGCCACAAGATAAGTGAGAAATTTTTGGGGTTACGTATTTTTTTATTACCCCTTTTTTCGATCGGTTGTTTTCTTCTTATAGCTAGTGATTTCTACGTCTTTACCCCATTGGCCAATTCCTTTTCCGATTAAGGACAGAGGTTGGCAAATCCTTGGTGAATCTTACATTTGCTAAGGATTTACATGTTTACTTTTAAACTATGTTTCATGAACAGTTTATATGGAAAGGAATAGGAAACAATGATTGTTGAATCTGGGTTCTATTCCTTTCCTTATTGAGGAAGGAAACTTACAATCCTTCGCTTCATCTCATCTGGAATTGCTTTATTTATTAAGCTGCAAAATTGTCAATCAGAAGATTTGGTTTACAAAAATTTAACAATTTTTATTGTCACAAGCTGTTCACTTATAAATCTTTTAATCGAATCTGGCTTTAAAGTTGCCGTGTAAATTTAAAAATAAAACGACATCATTCGATTTGAATAAATCAATATGACATCGAACGATGACGAGTAATATTGCTACCAGATGCTCATTTGGCATTTACACAAGGCGTAGTAATCATCAACCGCAAGACAAAGCTAGCCACCCCATCGCTATCTCCCTTTCAGATCGCAATCAGTGCCGCCATGTTTGACGCCATTATGAATCAAATTCCCGCCTTTTTACTTTTTTCCCATTCGCTAGGCACAAGCGTCAGATCTCACAGCCGATAACTTCTTTATTATCCTGGATGATTTTTTAATCTACGTTCGCACTCGGGTTTCACATTAGCGAATGCATTGTGTTGTATTAAAATAGAAATTGTACTATTTTCATAGAACAATTCGAGTTGACTAGGGTACATCAAGTTCATTATGCATTTATTAACCCTAATCTCTTTTTAATTCTAACTTAGCTAACAATACTAAATACTGCTGGATTGTTTCGAGTCTTACATACGTGGTTAATATACAAACAACATTTCAAAGTTAATAAACTGACTATAGGTAGATAATTTTAAGCGTCAATAGCCTAATGGTTAAAGGTACTGATTTCCGATCACGAGTTCGGGGGTTCGAATCCCGCCATTCGACTATTGTCGTAGACCATATCCTAGCACAAGCTTAGAGCTTATATGGAAATTTACACAAAATCTGCTAATATTTTAACAAAAAAAATTAGAATGATATAGATAACCTTAATCGTGAGATCCATTCAGTTTATACAAAGGGCATTGCTAATGGCTTAGGGAATGTTTTCCACCTTTTAATAGGTTGGGTATAAAATAAACAATTGCCAATTGTGCACTCGAAAAGTTTACCCGTCACTTTTACAAGTATATTGATTTGCAATAACTGAACAATCAGTATATGAAGAATGCCAAAATATGTTCTCCATTTATGGCAAATTTCAGCGACATCCATGCAGCCTTTCCTGAGATATCTTCAAACAAATATACATCCACCTAAACATTCGCATTTATAATATTAGAAAGATACAACTAAATTGTATGTTTACTCTCTTTCACACAACAAAAGACAATCGCAAATATGTTTGCTCAAAAACAACTCCCTTGATTATAAATAAACTAAGACGAAGTAAACGTACAAAATAATATGTTGCGAATTTTAAACAAAAACTAACTCTGTCTGGAAAACTTATGTAATACCAAATCCGCAGTCCGTGGAGAAAATTGGTATAAAAAGAAAACAAAAGAGCCGGCAACGCAAGTTTCCGAAGTTAAGTAAGTAGATTTTCCAATTTGAAACTCGTTACAAGAGATGGCGGGTTCACTTCTATCTTTTTCACTTGAACTCGACACATGATTTATCGACAAACTTCAACTGCAACTGGAGAATGAAAAATGTCGTCGTTTCATATTTATTCAGCGTTCGCAATAGCTTTTTAATGAATAGAATAACAATGAAAACCTGGTTTGGTAAGGACACTTTAGGGAGAAATACGAATTGATCAACACCTTCCTGATGAAAAGCCCAAGCGCTTGGCTTAGAAGGCATTACAATGGAAGAGACAGCGACAGATTTAACAGTGGTAGAGCCCGCTTTAACATCTTCGCACGAATTGGCCCGGTTCGCCTGGTGAAATACCACGACCACACAAAAGACAGGCGTGAAGTGGAAGCAATTCCGCATTTCGTCTGATGAGTGTGCGTCCCGGAGGCCTAATTTAGTCCTCTTTCCCTTCCCATCCTTTTCTTAATAAGGAAAGGATAGGAAGTGGAAGTGGACTTTCCGGATGAGAGGATGCATGGAAAGGGTAGATGATTTCTTTCTGTGCATCCTCTCATCCGTCGATTTAAGGTAGGTAACGCATATGCAATTGCGTATGTCTATGGACAACGGTCACTTCGCATTATCAGCGATTTCAGGTGGCCGCTCGTCTGTTTGCCGCCTTATGAAATATAACAAAAAGGTGCGCAGTCTTAACGTAAGTAGATGATAATGATGACTCATCGCTGATTCATCATCATAATTCCAGTATGTGTTCGTCTTCTGTTGGACCCTTCTATTTCCGATTATCTATACTCAAATGTCTCCAACACAATGGTTGGAAAAACAATTGAAAACATAATATAGTTTTTGTAGTAAATGAGATTTAGTAGTCACAATAAAGTCATAAAAGTTCATCGTTTAACCCCACATTTGACTACTTCCACTTAATTTTATATCGCTCTTGATTTTGCTACATTAATATCGACTTTGCAGTGTAAACACGTTGCCAAGTTAATTATTTGAGCAGCACTAGCGCTGTAATGGCGTCGCTTCCGGTGTGGCCGCCATTAATGGCCATTTCCTGTTAACTTCCTGTCGCCTCTAGCGCCACACTGCGGACTTTTTAAGTCACTTGCGACAACATATTTATGTTATAAATTTATTCTTTTTTTGCGGAGCTAACATACAAACAGTGCACTTCATTGAAATCTTATCCAAGAGAAGTATATGAGTATATGAGAGAGAGAGAATAAGTCCTAACAATGTATCTATTAAATGTTTTCATTGAATTTAATTTGAACCTAATTCTACGTATATTATACATATGTTAAACATATACATAAATACATACTTCAAGTATTTACTTTTATTAATTAAGGT